TCTCTGCCAGGTTTTGGTATCAGGATAATGTTGGTCTCATAAAATGAGTTAGGGAAGATTCCCTCTCTTTGTATTGTTTGGAATAGTTTCAGAAAAAATGGTTCCAGCTCCTCTTTGTATGTCTGGTAGAGTTTGGCTATAAACCCATCTGGACCTGGACTTTTTTTATTTGGTAGGGTATTAATTGCTGCCTCAACTTCAGACCTTGTTATTGGTGTATTCAGGGATTCAGCTTCTTCCTGGTCTAGGCTTTTGAGGTGTAAGCATCCAAGAATTTATCCATTTATTTTAGGTTTACTGGTTTATGTGCATTGAGTTGTTTGTCGTGATCTCTGATGGTAGTTTGTATTTCTGTGGAATCGTTGGTGATGTTCCCTTTATCATTTTTTATTCCATCTCTTTGATTCTTCTCTCTCTCTTCCTTTTTATTAGTCTGGCTAGCAGTCTATCTATTTTGTTGATATTTTCAATAAACCAGCTCCTGGATTTATTAATTTTTTTGAAGAGCTTTTTGTGTCTCTGTCTCCTTCAGTTCTGCTCTTATCTTAGTTAATTCTTGTCTTCTGCTAGCTTTTCAATTTTTTTGATCTTGCTCCTCTAGCTCTTTCAATTTTGACTATAGTGTGTCAATTTTAGATATTTCCTCACTTCTCATGTGGGCATTTATTGCTATAAATTTTCCTCTAGACACTGCTTTAAATGTGTCCCAGAGATTCTGGTATGTTGTGTCTTCATTCTCATTGTTTTCAAAGAACATCTATTTCTGCCTACATTTCATTGTTTATCCAGTCATCATTCAGGAGCAAGTTGTTGAGTTTCCATGTAGTTATGTGGTTTGGGGTGAGTTTCTTAATACTGAGTTCTAATTTGTTTGCACTCTGGTCTGAGAGACTATTTGTTACGACGTCTGTTCTTTTGCATTTGCTGAGGAGTGATTTACTTCCAATTATGTGGTCAATTTTACAGTAAGTATGATGTGGTGCTGAGAAGAATGTTTATTCTGTGGATTTGGGGTGGAGAGTTCTGTAGATGTCTATTAGGTCTGCTTGGTCCAGATCTGCATTAAGTCCTAGATGTCCTTATTGATTTTCTGTCTTGTTGGTCTGTCTGATATTGACAGTGAAGTGTTAGTCTCCCACTATTATTGTGTAGGAGTCTAAGTCTCTTTGTAGGTCATTAAGACCTTGCTGGTCGGACGTGGTGGCTCATGCCTGTAATCCCAGCACTTTGGGAGGCCGAGGCAGGCAGATCACCTGAGGTCAGGAGTTGAAAACCAGCCTGGCCAACATGGTGAAATGCCATCTCTTTTTTTTTTTTTTAAAAAAGGAAGAACTTGCTATATGTATCCGGGTGCTCCTGTATTGGGTACATACAAATTTAGGATAGTTAGCTCTTCTTATTGCATCGATCCTTTTATCTTTATGGAATGCCCTTCTTTCTCTCTTTCAATCTTTGTTGGCTTAAAGTCTGTTTTATTAGAGAGTAGGATTGCAACCCCTGTTTTTTTTTTTGCTCTCCATTTGCTTGGTCAATCTTCTTCCATCCCTTTATTTTGAGTCTATATGTGTCTTTGCATGTGAGATGGGTCTCCTGAATATAGCACACCAACGGGTCTTGAATTTTTATCCAGCTTGCCAGTCTGTGTCTTTGGATTGGGGCATTTAGGCTGTTTACATTTAATGTTAATATTGTTATGTGTGAGTTTGATCCTGCCATTTTGTTACTGGCTGGTTGTTTTGCCCACTAGTTGATGCAGTTTCTTCATTGCATCATTGGTCTTTACAATTTGGTACATTTTTGCAGTGGCTGGTACTGGTTGTTCCTTTCCATGTTTAGTGTTTCTTTCAGAAGCTCTTGTAAGACAGTTCTGGTCATGATGAAATCTCTTGGCAACTGCTTGTCCATAAAGGATTTTATTTCTCCTTCATTTATGAAGCTTAATTTGGCTAGATAGGAAATTCTGGATTGAAAGTTATTTTCTTTAAGGATATTGAGTATTGGCCCCCGCTCTCTTCTGGCTTGTAGAGTTTCTGCCAAGAGAACCCCTGTGAGTCTGATAAGCTTCACTTTGTGAGTGTCTCAACCTTTCTCTCTGGCTGCCCTTAGCATTTTTTCCCCTCATTGCAGCCGTGGTGAATCTGACAATTTTGTGCCTTGGGGTTGCTCTTTTTGAGGAATATCTTTGTGGTGTTCTCTGTATTTCCTGAATTTGAATGTTGGCCTGCCTTGCTAGGTTTCGGAAATTCTCCTGGATAAGAACCTGAAGAGTGTTTTTCAGCTTGGATTCATTCTCCCCATCACATTGAGGTACAATGTGTACCTAATTCAAGTGTAGAATTAGGTCTTTTCACATAATCCTATATTTTTTGGAGGCTTTGTTCATTTCATTTTACTCTCTTTTCTCTAATCTTGCCTTCCCATTTTATTTCATTGAGGGGCTCTTTAGTCTCTGATATCCTTTCTTCTTCTTGATTGATTTGGCTATTGAAACTTGTGTATGCTTCTTGATATTCTCCTGTTGTGTTTTTCATCTTCATCAAGTCATTTATGTTCATCTCTAAGCTGGTTATTCTAGTTAGCATTTTGTCTAACCTTTTTTCAAGGTTTTTAGTTTCTTTGCATTGGAGTAGAACATGTTCCTTTAGCTCAGAGAAGTTTGTTATTATCCACCTTCTGAAGCCTGCTTCTGTCAATTCATCAAACTCATTCTCCATTCTGTTTTGCTCCCTTGTTGGTGAGGAGTTGTGATCCCTTGGTGATCCCTTGGAGGAGAATAGGCATTCTGGTCTTTGCTGATTTCATCCTTTAGTGCTGGTTTCTTCCTATTATTATGGATTTATCTACCTTTGATCTTTGAAGTTGGAGATTTTGAATGGGGTCTCTGAGTGGACATTCTTTCTGTTGATGTTGAAGGTATTTGTTTTTTAGTTTTCCTTCTAACAGTCAGGTCCCTCTGCTGTAGGACTGCTGCAGGTCCTTCCAGACCTTGCTTGCCTAGGTATCACCCATGGGGTTTGCTGAATGGCAAGGATTGCTGCCTGATCTTTTCTCTGGTAGCTTCATCCCAGAAGGGTGCCCCCCAGGTGTCATCCAGAGCTCTCCTGTATGAGGTGTCCTTTTGGGTATACAGGGGTCAAAGAGCCACTTAAGGAGGCAGTCTGTCCCTTGTCTGCCTGCAAAGGCACTGCTCGGCTGTCACAGCCTTATTCCAGCTGCCGTGTATGCTTCCTCTGGCTTTTGTTTACAAAGGTAGGTTTAGACCCACCTCAGCAATGGCGGACACCCTTCACCCCATCAGGCTCAATCGTCCCAGGTCAGGCTCAAACTGATGTGTTGGCTGTGAAACTCTCAAGTGAGAAGACTTTAGTTTGCTTGTCTTTGTGGGGTTGGGACCTACACAACCTATCACCTGTCTCTCTGCTTTCAGCTCCCCTTCTTTCTGGGGAGTGGGTAGCTCCATCCTGCAGGTGCTCTCAGTGCTAGTCAAAACATCTGCCCTCTCAGTGCTAGTCAAAACATCTGCCCAGATCTGTGCTGACAGCCGGCGCTAGCTGGAGCTGCCACTCAGATCTGTGCTGTTAACTCACAGGCCTTTTCAGCACAGTGGGGATCTCCAGGACTGTGGTTTGCAGAGGCCATGGGAGAAGCATGGTATCTGAACTGGAGTGTTGTGATGGGCAGGGGGCAGTCCCCAATCCTCCAGTCAGTTGCACTTCCCAGGTGAGGCAGCACCCTGCTCTGTCTTGGTTTATCCTCCTTGGGCAACACCCACTGTCCAACCAGTCCTATTGAAATGAACCTGGTACCTAAGTTGGAAATGGGGAGATCACTCACCTTCTACTTCTGTCTCCCTGGGAAATGTGCTCCAGAGTTGTTCTTATAAGGCCATCTTGGCAGAATTCCCCTTATGAGAATCTTAATGCCTGATGAGCTAGAGTGGAACAGTTTCATCCTGAAACCATCCTGCCACCCTGGTCCTTGCAAAACTTGTCTTCCATAAAACCCTTCCCTTGTGCCAAAAAGGTTGGGAACCACTGAATTATACACACAACCTGAAAATAATTTTATGCCATATTTTAAATTACTTTATGCGTGAAACAAAGTTATTTTATCATCCTTTGTGGGTGTTTTTGCATGGTCAAGTCTGGACATTATAGAAATTGTAATGGAAGGAGTGTAATTTACAAGATACTAGAAGAACTCAGTAGACATGAGGTGCACCATTAGTGGTTATAGATCAGCCTGTGTTGTCCATTTGTTCCTGCTCCTGACCAGATTGGAGGTGCAAGTTAGTAGGGCAGAATGGAGTAGAACTAACTAGCTGGTAGCAGTTTGAAGTTATGACCACACCTCATACTTTAATGTGTAGATTGTAGCAGTCATAGAGAAGTCTAAGCCTTTTGTTATTTTTAGGAAACAAGACAGTCTAATTATTATAAATATAAAGATAATTATAGATCAGAATGATGCTTTATTATTATTTAGACTTAATTTTTGAAACAGAGCTAAAAGTTGTAATATGTTATATTGTCTCATGTTTTTAAACTAAATTTTCCTGTGTGAAAGAGTGAATGTTGTGCCTCAGATATGCTTCTTACAGATGCTTAAAATACGTTTTTAAATTACTTTACATTTCTTACCATTCAATTAGTTTCAAATAGCTTTCTTGATTTTACTCAGTTACTTAGCCATATATTATTCAAAATACAAAGAGACCAAAAAGTTTGGTTATATCTTCAAATGTTTTTTTACATTGAAATTTTTACATTTTTACATTTTTTTCATTTACAATGAAATTGGATGTACATTTAGAAATATTTTATGTGTATTGAAGATATCTTTTCAGCTTCCTGTGTTTTATTTATATTTTGTGAGTGCAAGAAAAAATAATGACCTTGAGACTTTGTTTTCCTCAAACTCTAACTCCACATGCATCCTTATTTGTTCTAAAATTATATTTTTATAGCTAATAATTTTATCAAATTTTATTTATATTTTAGGCTAAAAATCTCATAGAGAGATTTTTTAATCAACAAGTAGAAGTTCTTGGCAGACGTGCAGAGCCATTGCCTGCAATATACTATATTGAAGGCACTCTCCAAATGGTTTGGATTAATCGCTGCTTTCCAGGGTATGGAATGAATGACCTGCAACATCCAAAATGTCCTGAGTGCTGTGGTATGTAATGAACTATGATTTCATGTTTTATATTAGCTTAAGTGAATGCCTATCACTTATTTTTACTATCATTTTGGTATTTTTTCATAGTTGATTTAAGGTAGTCTATTTGAAAAGACTATGTCAATATCAAGATGTGAAATTAAAAACAGTCTGGCTTGATTTTGGCCTTGGAATTAATATTACAGCAAGAGAGTTTAGGAGCATTAGGCAGTTATCTGGGAGGAAACACAAAAATAGTTATGAGTCACTTAGAATTCCTTACCTTAAAAATAACCAAATAATATGTCTTTTGGAATCAATTATTGATGAGTTTAGGTTTGTATAGTCTATAGTAGATATCTTTGTGACTTTTTCCTTCCTTTTGAAATAAGTATATGAATTGCTTTATTACCAGTTGTTTTTTTCTATCTTTTGGTCCTAGCACTACAGGATCTGAGTTGCTCTGTGACATTTATTCTTTCTTTTTCATCTTTACTATAGAAGAGACTTTGGTAGAGGCTATTGACTTAGGTTGAGCGCATGAATTCAAAGTCTTTGCATTTCTATTACTGAGAGATTAATGGGTCAATTAATTTTCAGTCTTAAAAGACTTTAAAAATTTTATACTGATATTACTAAATTTATACCTGTATTTGTATGTTTCATATTGCCACAAGAGAGTACTTAAGCCTGGAGAGTTTATAAAGGAAAAAAGTTTATTTGTCTCATGATTGTGATGGCTGAAAAGTTTGAAATTGGGCATCCAGTGGGGGACTCAGTCTGCTTCCACCCATAGCAGAAAGTGAAGGGGAGCCTCAGTGTGCAGAAACCACATGGTGACAGAGGAAACTAGAGAGAGGGGTAGGTGCCAGGATCTTTTGTACAACCAGCTCTCACAAGAAACTAATGGAATTAGAACTTGGTCACCCATGAGGGAGGATATTCATCTATTCATGAGAGATCTGCTCCCCTGACACAAACCTTTCCCGCCATGCCTCACCTCCCAACACTGCCACATTGGGAACTCTCAACATGAGATTTTGTGGGAACAAACAAACCATATCCAAGTTGTGGCAATATCATTCTCATTTAGTCATTTCTGACTGTTCTTTACTCCTTTCTTTCTGCTATTTATGTTAGATTAAAACCCTTTTTGTAAAATAGACCACTAAATATTCCTTTTAATTTGTTTTCTTTGATTTGGCTAAAGTTGTCTTTATAATTTTGTATGTGTGTTTTGTTATTGCTTAAACATGTGAACTTTTACAAAAATACACTATAAAGGTATATTAGGAAATATAATACAAATAAAATAAATAACATACTAACTTTGTAACTTTCAAAAATCGATGATTATATATCTATATGTGTGTGTGTGTGTGTGTGTGTGTATTATATATATTGCTCCAGAACAAAGATAAGGATAAAGAAAAACATAGAAACATCCAAAAAATAAACTGGAACATAGTAGTTTAGCTGTCTGTTGCATGCATTTTTACCATTATTCAAAAAAGACAAGATAAACTAAAATTGTTAAAATATTTGCGTCTCATTAATTATAAGTATTTTGTAATTGTCAAACATAGCTTTTTCAAGTGAAGTAGTAGGTTTGAATGTCAGAATTACAAATTTTACCATTACATTTTTTTTGTGTGTGTTTTAAACATTTGGGTAATAGCACAATTGTGATGTTTTCTAATTTCACCATGTAATGAGTGTTAACTCAGCTTGTTGTGTGCTACACTATTTGATCAAGCTAATTAATTGTTTTATTCCCAAAATAAGAAGTATATGAGAAAATTTAATGTGAATCTCAAAAATATTTTCTATCTCTGAAATAGTATTTGATTCTCCTGAATATTTGATCTCTGCCCACAGAGCTTAGATATTTAAGAGATGTATCTATGAAACAATTAGGGAACAAGAGACGGCTAAACTGAAGGGGAAAAAAATACAAGATTATATAATGAAAACTGAGTTAGTAGTGGAATAGATCACAAAGGTTCAATGTAATTATGACAGCGCTTTCTTGTTGAGACTTGTCTTTCAGTCTTGAGGTAGTTACTTGAGGTAGGATACCAGGATAGCAAGCACTGTCCAAGCAACAACATGAATGAGCATCAAGTTTATGGCAGAGGGTGGGATTTTGCTTAAATAAAATAAAATTTATTTTTTAGATTTGATGGGCTCATCATCATTGCTCAATAGAGTTATTAATTAGTGAGTTGCCAAATTTTATTTTGTGTCATCTTATGGTTAATAAACATTTTAATTTACAATTATCTTTGTTTTATCATTTCTGTAAGTTATGAAGCAAGATTCAGTTCCCCTAATGTAACATTCAGAAACCCATAGGATAGTAATAATTTTTGTCAATTTTACAGAAGGCCATCACCCTAAAATTTTAGAAAAGCGTATAACAACTCAAAAAGATATTTAATCATTCTCTGAATAGAAAATGATTTAATAAATTACCCTGTATTTTAAATTAGGATAACACTAGTTAAAAGACAAAATTAACAAACTAAATGAACTTAAAATGTATTCAAGTATGAAACTGAATACTAGATAAAATAATGATGAGCTTATAAAATATATAAGGTATCTTGTAAAATGACTTCTGTCTAGAATAAAAAAATGTACCATGTTTATATTTAACAAACAAGATTGAGACAAAGCTTGTTTATGACATAAGGGAAGTTCGTTTACTTTCTCAGTAAAGTAAGTCTCAGCAGTAGATTAAGCACCAGATTTGTTCTTTTCCTTTGGATATATATATTTTTTTTCTTTGTGACAAAGTCTCGCTCTGTTGCCAGGCTGGACTGCAGTGGTTCGATCTCAGCTTACTGCAACCTTCATCTCCTGGGTTCAAACGATTCTCTTGCCTCAGCCTCCTGAGTAGCTGGGACTACAGACATGCACCACCATGCCTAGCTAATTTTTGTATTTTTAGTAGAGACAGGGTTTCACCATGTTGGCTAGGATGCTTTCAATCTTTTGACCTCATGATCTGCCCGCCTTGGCATCACAAAGTTCTGGGATTACAGGCATGAGCGCCAACACACCCAGCCTTATCATTCTTTATTCATTTAAGTTTTATTTCTAGATGGCAGACAAAGCCTGTTTCCTTATAAACTTGTGAAGACTTAACATTTCTACCTATATTATTGTTTTTCCTGACTTTAGTATTTTTAAATTAATTTATACCGAAAAGCTTCTCTGTGACTTCACATTTAGCATTGCTTGTTATATACATCATTTTGGCAATCAGTTTTGCCACTTTAAAGAGAGTTTTAATTAAATTTGTGAATTACCAATGTCTTATAATTTTATAAATTATATAATATACTACAACAAAAGACCAGGCAAATATTACATTGTTTTTAAGAGAATTTTGTTAAAACACAGATTCTGAAATGATTTACTCTGCAATTTCTTTTCTTTTTTTTTTTTGAGATGGAGTCTTATTCTGTCACCAGGCTGGAGTACAGTGGCGCGATATCAGCTCACTGCAACCTCTGCCTCCTGAGCCCAAGCGATTCCCCTGTCTCAGCCTCCCAAGTAGCTGGGATTACATGCATGCGCCACCACACCAGGCTAGTTTTTTGTGTTTTTAATAGAGATGGGGTTTCACCATGTTGAGCAGGATGTTCTCAATCTCCTGACCTCATGATCCTCCATCTTAGGCTCCCAAAGTGCTGGGATTACAGGCGTGAGCCACTGCGCCTGGCCTACTTTGCAATTTCTATTATTTCTGTTTTTGTATAGCTTGTATATTCAACTTTCTCCCATTTTATTTCTGCTAATTTCTTTCAAAAAAATCAAAACATAAAACTTGTAGGTCAAATGACATTCTTTGACATAATACCCCAGTTGCCCTTCCAATTTTTTTCTCTTTAAACTATGGTCATGGTTTTAAAACTCTTACATGTATCAGAATTTGCTGAAGATTTTCTCAAAATATATCCAATGTGTATGAATCAGAAATCTACATTTATAAGCTTCCTAGGTGATTCTTACATATGCTGAAGTTTGAGATATCTTAGTGTTGATAAGGCAACACCTAGATAGAATGTAGGAATATAAGTTTTGATAAGGCAATAACTTGGTAGGATGCCCATGCTTCTACTGAGGTAGCAGACTATTTGCCATTGATTATTATGGATTAAACGGGTAGCTCAGTAATAGGTTAGACAAGATTATTTATCCTATTGCTTTCCTTTTTTTTTAAAAAAAAGAATAGCCATTGCTCATTCAAGCCTTTTGGTAATCACATGGAAGTTCCAGCAGGGAGTTCTTTCATTGTGACACAGTATCCGTGTCATCAGAAATGATTAGGTTGCAAATTAGAATATTTAATCGTCTTGAGATGGTTTTATTAATAAAATATACTTGTCTACTTTAATTATGCAGGAAAAGTGAATTGTTTAGTACCTACAATTTTTTAAATAAAGCATTTTAGAGTCAATAAATTTATCCCACTCAAACTCGCATTCCTGAACCCTTGTGTTTTGATTTTATATCAGAGGATCGGAGACAAAAAAAATGTTTCTTTTGCATCTTTTTCACTACATGTATTTAAATAGTTCTGTTATCAGTAGTAAATAAAACTCATCCACCTTTTATACCACAAAGACATTGCTTTTATTTTGAGTCAGTATATTTCTGAAGAAACTAAATTATTGAAAAATCATGGCCAATGGATAGGTTATTCTATGGATTACAGTGTGGGATTCCCAGATTTTCCTTAAATAGGTACATTTATTTTTAGTAAAAGCAGTCCATGTAATTTGAAAAACTTATCTGAGTGAAACTGTCTTAGATATGTTGAAGAATTAACAATATCATGAAGAAATACTGGGTCAAAATCTAAAAACAAAAATTAATGCTTCTCCTGGCTATGAAGTAGCTTATAGTAGACACAATCTCTTTTTGGAAAAATTAGAAAGTCTAATAAAATTTAAAAGTTACTCATTCTATTAAAGACATTGGTAAAATGTCAGGGTGTAAGGATTCAA